TATACGCCTGGCCTGCATGTCTCCCTTTATCCATAAACATTTGTTCTCTCCATCAGTCGTGTAGCCTAGGCCTAGCCTGCTTTTATCACAATATGCTATTAATATTATAGGACAATTAATTCAGAGGCGAAGACACGAGAATCTCCCATGATGTCGAAAACCAAATGACCCGGAATAATCTAATGTCGTTTCAACAGGGACGGTGATGCACGCAATCAAATCCAAACATTTCAGATAGCGACCCTAGTGCCGTCACTAATCTTCTCTCAATATTTGCAGCTCTCGCTCCTCAAATAAATATGTTTAATGTGCCCCGTACGAACATTACGGCAACCATCAGATTACGTATGGTCATTATAACCACTTAGAGACAACTTTTAACAACTTGTGTGAGGCTCTAATGCTTTAAAGGCATATTAATTTGATATAAGAATCTAGGACATGATGAGAATTAAGACTATTATCTTATGATAGGCTACATAGGAATATGTTTTAGGGTAGGCCTAATTACAAATAGGCTATTGAAAAGGAATTTGGCCAGTTTATTTTCATTCCAAGGCAATCACTGCATTTCTTACAGTGGAGTCGACTGCAGTATAGCATTACACTACACATGTATGGCAGTTGGCCAGGGATATAAATTATTATAAATGCTATATATTTAATATCATAAATCCCACGAATTATAATAAGTTAAGGTTGTGTTAGTTATCGTACTGCTCAGAAGAATGTCCTGTTGTGTGTAGCCTACTGCTCAGAAAGAGCATCCTTTTCAATGCTTTCATTTTTTATAAAACAAATTAGGTGTCAAAGTATAAAGGTATAGGCATATAGCTCCTTTTTCCATAGCCCACAAGCAGTAGGCCTAAAGAAAGGGGTTTTATTAGGAGAAATTTTTTCATTTTAAAGTGTCAGTAAAGTGAAATCGTTCTTGGGAGTTCTAGACGTTTACTGAAGAATGCCAGTACAACTACATTTAGCTGCTAATTCGAGACCTGTTTGCAGATTCACCATTGAACTATTTGAACTTTAAATTAAACGAATGGTCAACTGTTTTTTTATTCGGGGAAATAAGACTACCCTACATAAAAATATAGTAAAAAAACAGCGCCTAAGATTCTCATTTTATTTTCAGTGGCTATATAGCCTTTAGCCATCAATAAAACGTTTGATATTAGGCTATTAATATCCTATACGAATTTAAAACCTCGGTCTGCAATCAAAGGTTATCGAATTGGTTATTATAGTCTATGAACAATATTTAGCTTTAAGAATATATATGATAGACAATAATAGTGCCGGCCTACATATAATCACGTGTACAGGCATATAGACCACGCTCAATACAATTCAGGCTACTGTAAGTATGGATTTCGATTATATTAGTCTTGTCTAGAAATATAGCGTCTAGACGGTCGCGTTTGCCTAAATCTGGTTTGGGAATTCTAATAGTGTCGTTATGAGCGTTAATAACCCATCTCTGTAGTGGCATGTCACTCTCTGTAGAGCTGAGAGTATCGATCCATGTGCCTCTGTCTCCACCATAAACCATAGCATATGAAATAAACGTTAATAATGTTATGCTGCACTTTAGTAACGGCCACCGTAAAACCATGGAATGTTGGAAGCCATGCCATGTAGGCGACTACCAAAGAGTCACTAATCAGCTTATGATATTTGTAGTAGGCCTGACCTTTGCTCCATAAGCATATTATGCTACACATTTACATTTTAGTCATTTAGCAGACGCTCTTATCCAGAGCGACTTACAGTTAGTGAGTGCTTACATTTTTTATTTTTTTTATACTGGCCCCCCGTGGGAATCGAACCCACAACCCTGGCGTTGCGAACCCCATGCTCTACCAACTGAGCTACATCCCTACACATACGCATCAGCATTCACATAGAGAGCGCGAGAGGCATAGGCCTACTTTATTCATAATTTTATATGCAACAATGGTTATTGGATTCAACACCATAACCTAATGCCGACTGTAGGCTATACATGACTGTGAATATGACCCAGAGTCAACAGAATACAATAGCAGTGTGTGGCTAATTAATCATTAATACAGACAGTCTCCACGGTGCGGCATGACCAACCGACCCAAGGGTTGAGGGTGTTTCCGCTTTGCTCTAATACTGCTGGTGCTCTGGGTTAACTTACCTGACTGACTTTTACCTTCTGACCGAGGCCATATTTTTATTTTATCTAAATACATGCTCTGCTTCTGACTATTCAACTGCCTATGCCTGACTGGTAGCCAAGCCGAGAGCATCGTGATGTTCTATTGAATATTACGATAAATGCTATTATGGAGGTGGCTGCTGCATATCTGTGGTATAGGCCTATCGTTTAAAATATGACAATTTGTTTTCAACGACGTTGTTGCGGGATAGCAATTTGAAAGATACATTGCCATATTTACAACGGCCAGTCATGTCATAGCCTATCTACTGTATGTTGCTGCAGTTACAGTGAGGGATGGAGTTTTCTTTTTAGCTTGTCTTGGTTGTTACATTTTAAAGGTTTTGTTATGTCAGTTGACTTCTTAGTCAGTTGACACACGTTTTATGAATCGCAGTGTTTATGTGAATACGTTATATATATATATTTATCTCTCTCTCGCTCTCGATCTCTCTCGCTCTTTCTACATTCATCATATACTTGCTATAACAACCACAGACCATTCTCTACAGGCACACGACACACACACTGCGGCTGTGATGCGTGAATAGACCTCAACACAAAGACACTCAAACACATACACGCGCACACCGCCCTTTTGCACGTTGCTGGAAGGAAAAATATCGATCAGTATGAGAATGTGTGCAGATGTGGCTGCTGAAACGTGAATCTTTCTCTTCTCATTTGGCCTGATATAGGCTATAATATTTTTGGAGCAATCTGTTATTTGTGATGATTGATTATTACTTGCCTGAAAAATGTTATGTAAATTAATTTAACAAATTGATAACATATTTATTTTTAAATGTATTATTTATTAAATGTTAACACATTTTTTTTATTTTGTTGGGGTTATCTATTTTGTTATTAGGCCTAGTCTACAAGTTATGTTTGTAAATTATCAATAGGCCTATGTAGTAACTCTCCGCCCAGTCCTTTATTATGTCCATACAGTTGGAAAGCATCTCGTTGTTCATTAATTGTCTTTGTTTCTGGGCACACGTCAAGTCCCCACACGCCACTGACGTTGACTTCCTATTAGAGACCATTTAACTTTTCCGTTTCTCTTCTTTAACTTGTTCAACTGAATGGTGTCCTGTTGTTCTTGACACTGACAGATGCCGCAGTGTGTGTGTGTGTGTGTGTGTGTGTGTGTGTGTGTAAAGTTAATCTGCACGAGCAGCTGTTAACATTAGGAGTCTTGAAGCGTCGCCTTTGACATGCGGCCCGGGCTGGCCACTGGCCACAGCAAGCTGTCGCCTGACCGCGTGAAAAGGACGCCTCGACCCCCCCCCCCCCCCCTCCTTCCAACACACACAAGTCATTTGAAGTTCATCCAATGTGTAGCCAATTTAGGAATCTTCCAATGTTTCAAATTGTATTGAAATTGTATTGTAATGAGGTAGGCCTACTCAATGTGTGAAGGAAGTAAAATGACGCGATAAAACATTAAAAATATTTGTCATTCAATTGTTTCTCAATTAATTACTAACATTATTATGTCTTATTATCATGAGAGATGTAATGTTGATGTAATCATAGGCCTATTCCAATGAATACTTTTCTTCACTGTGATCAAGTACATACACACACACACACACACACACACACACACACATACACACACGCACACACACACACACTCCCCGTATCGACGGGGGCACGCGTGGACACACTTAGCCCACACACACACCCACACACTCCCATGCACGGCCGGCCGGTTCGTTAATCTTAATGGTTTAACAATAGACACATCTGTTCATCTTTTTCTTTCTAAAGAGAGAGAAGTACAACTTCATTTGTTACTTCAAATCGACATATGGAAGAGTTTTCATTTGGGATTGGAATTGAAAGATTGCTACAATAATAACTTTGTAGAGGATACCATTTTTGTTTATTTTATATAAAAATAGAGAAACAGCATGATGACATTTGGTTCAGGATAGGTGGTGATTATAAAGGACACGTGTGTGAATATAAGGTTTTGAATACTGCATGCACGCTGTCATGCTCTAATCACACACGCACACGCGCGCGCACCTTATTGACGAGCCGAGAATTAACCCGGAAGTTCACTTCATTTGTTCTGCATGACATGTTAAGGAGGCTCCAGAACAATATTGGATCAAGAGGTTTTTATTTGTGTTGAAATACAATAGGTCTCAATAGGCTCCATTGAACTTGTAAAGTATAACCTAGTAAATAACATTAATTAATTTGTGATTTAATTATTTCATTCCAGTGGGTGTGTGAGAGGGGGCGGGGGGGGTCATAACCAGCAGGTAGCTTAATACCTCTTTTGTAACTTCCTTAATAACTGACGTCAGAGCAGCGTGTGTGTGTGCGTGTGTGTGTGTGTGTGGTGGGAGGGGATGGATGGTCGCCCGTGCGCATGTGTGTATGTTCGGGATCCGCAGCGGTGAAACGGAGGTGTGGAGAAACAGAGCAGCACGAGAAGAGCCACGGAGAGAGAGATGGCGCAGGACCCGACCGGAGCGCAAGGACAGGCGGGGGGGGCTCGAGACACAACCGAGAGGAAGCAGAAAATAAAATGAAATACCAATAAAACGATTCTAAAAGGGAAAGAAAAGTATATAATCGGAGGAAAGAAAATAATCAACAAAGACAAGAGGAAGAAAAAAACAGCGATAAATAGGATACCAAAAACATCCATCAACCAGGATTCAGGAGACATAACAAACCACCACAACAAACCAACAGACTGGGAGGGAACTTTCCCGCCGTGAGGACGCTGGACTGTTCTGTGGACATCCATCCCTCTCCCAGGTCACATAGATGGTCGCCAAGCATCATGAACGCGCAACTGTCCATGGAGAGCCTCGGCGACCTGAGCCATGAGTCTGTGGCCGGTCCAGGAGAGCTGCTAGTTGGCCACAGCCCTCACCCCCGCCCGGGTGGGGGCCGAGGGTTGGCGCACCGCTCCATGGGCATGACGAGCCTGCTAGACGGGGGAGAATACCACTCCCATCACGGACACAACACTGGACACCCCGGCCATCACCTGCACCCCGCCATGAGTATGTGCGAGACCCCCCCTGGAATGAGCGCGAGCACCTACACCACCCTCACACCTCTCCAGCCCCCCCTACCCCCCATCTCCACTGTGGCAGACAAGTTCTCTCATCATCACCATCATCATCATCCTCACCACCATCCTCATCATCCTCATAATCATCATCAGCGACTCCCCGGTAATGTCACCGGCAGCTTTACGTTTATGAGGGATGAGAGGGGGCTGGCACCGATCAACAACCTCTACTCCCCCTACCACCACAAAGACGCCCCTGGGATGGGACAGAGCCTCTCCCCACTGTCTGGCTCTGGCCTGGCCGGCCTACACAGCTCCCAGGCCGGCCTGCCTCCCTATGCCCACCCCGGGGTCTCAGCCTCCATGCCGGGGGAGAAGATGCAGCTGACTCCCGGCGGGTTCGAGGCTCATCACCCCACCATGCTGGCCAGACACGCCGACCAGCACCTCACCTCCTCGGGGAACATGCTCCATATCAATGGCCTCCATCACCACCACCCCCATGCCCACCTCGGAGCCTCGGGGCACGTCCTGGGCCACGGGAACCCCCGGGACAACAACAGCCAGAGCCAGGCCTCCGGGCCCGGGGTTCAAGTCCACGGGGTTGGTGGTGGTGGTGGCGGTACCGGGGGCAGTTCGACGGGTCAAATGGAAGAAGTAAACACCAAAGAAGTAGCTCAGAGGATCACCACAGAGCTGAAGCGTTACTCCATCCCCCAGGCTATCTTCGCCCAGAGGGTGTTGTGTCGGTCCCAGGGAACCCTGTCAGACCTGCTCCGGAACCCCAAGCCCTGGTCCAAGCTCAAGTCCGGCCGGGAGACCTTCCGCCGGATGTGGAAGTGGCTGCAGGAGCCTGAGTTCACACGCATGAGCGCGCTCAGGCTCGCAGGTGAGCGAACCCTCGGTAATACCCCCTTCCTTTTTTATTTCTCTTTCTCTCTCCCTATACTCTTTATCTATAGGCGTTATTTAAGATTGTTTGGTGCTCGTCATTGGAACAGTAGGCCTATTGTCTGCAGCTGTCTTGAATCTGACAGTGGAGTAGCCAGTGGTGTGACAGAACTGAAACCTCCCTCTGGAATTCCCTGCAGTTGAATTCACCATTGTCTTTGTTGAAATCTCTCTCTCTTGGCTTTTTCCATTCTATAAGATAAGGGCCCATGTGTCTATTCACGCGTGCGTGTGTCTGTGTGTCTTTGTGTGTGTGTGTGTGTGTGTGTGTTGGTAAAGCGATATGGTACCAGAATGGGCTTATTTTGGCCACCGGGTTGTAGATGCCAGCAGCATCTATCTCATCAGCTTTGTGTTGTTACCAACAGAGTCCACGCGAGTCCATGTAAACAGAGTCCACGCGCGGGAGAATAAGAATCAAGTTCTAAAAAAGCTTTTTATGTCATGAAAATATTAATTTGCTGCCAGCACATATAGTGACATCCTCAAGCTGTGTGTTTAGGGGCTGAGGGATGGAACATCTGCGGAAAATAGTATAATATAACAACAATAGAATATAATAGAAGAGAACACAATATTTCCCAGTATCAATATGACCATTGTTTTAAATCTTGAGGAAAGCTTATGGAAGCTGTGTCTTTGGCTGCGTTGACGCACTTATTGTGTTTCAGTGAGTGTGTGTTTTTGTCTTGGAGCTAAACTCATTAAGGAGGCGTGATGCGGGGCTGACTGGGTTTGTGGTAATTAACTGATAGATAGCTCTCTATTAATTTGTCCCCGAAGACCCGAGTCAATCCGCCTGAACCGTTCTAGCGGACACACACACACACACGGAGCCACGCAGTCGGAAGCATACAAAGGAATTGCTTTTATTTCTAATCAATGACGCGCTGAGGCGGATGGGTTTTTGGCTTGTGAAAAGTGTGAGGCGCTACGCTGCTGAAAGTGTGTTAAATCGCCATTGATTATTTGCAGTGTGTGTGTGTGTGTGTGTGTGTGTGTGTCATCAACAGTCTTGCATAGCAAACCATATAGATACCATATCATATATATATATATACATGTTATTGTTTTTGTGACTTAAATAAACGAATAAATATGTTGCAGCGCAAACGCAACTCTTGATCTTTCGATGCAGGTGATTCAATATCAGGGTATTCCTTATAATACGTCTGTTGACGCACGCCAAACACATTTGTATTGAACCATTATAATTAGAACCAATAATCCCTTCCATCTCGTGAGCTAAGGGAAAACACTATCATTCAGAACAGAAAAAATAATTACTTTTCCCGGAATTGTTTTCAGTGAATTCATGAATGTTAGGCAGTACGCTTGTGCTGTTCTATTTAGGCCTGCCATGCATTTATGAAAGTAAAAAGTAAAATAACATATTTTTGATTAGGCATATCGTGTTCTCTGAGTGGGGAGATTATTTTGGCAGTGTCTCCCTCTTAATTTTATTTATATATATTACAACTTCGAACTGAATCATAAAGGCTTCATTGTGAAATATGTCTCATAATAATAATAGCGCTTCAGATTCTGGAAATGTAAAATGTCTGTAAACAGGAGAAGGAAGCCGGTGCAGGACCATATATCGATCGGTTCTTGGGTGAAATGTGTGTGTGATCGGCCTACTAAGAACTAAAATAGAAGATTGATATTGATTATTGAAATTTGGCTTATTCCATTTTCCCATGTTACATCATGTATTCCTGGCAGTTTTTCTCATGTAGCCAAGGCCTATGCCTGCCGGTAGACTAGGCCTACTCATATCATTAGCCTATTTCATCTTGAATTGACCGATGTTTTCATGAATTGGAAATGTAATGTATTACATGTGAATTGGGTTTAAAATAATCGAGGATAATGCAGCCAAAACGTATTTCCATTGTGGTCCTTTGCTTTTGGCAAGGTTGTTGTTGAGAAGTTGCGTGTATAGTTCCCTAAATAACTAATAATAATAATATATTCTAGACCTATACACACCCTCACATACTCAACAATTAACCAGGCCTATATTAATTTAGCAGAAAATACAGAAAAAAGCGTTTTGTTAAAGCAATTGTAAACAATTGTAAACATGAAGGCCTAATATTGCACCTGCCCGATAATTAATCTCAAGCATTGATTCTGACATTACCATTTTGTTTGTTAGAAATTCGTTAAAATTTAGGCCTATTATTTTCCAGTTTGGTAAGTTTGTGCGTTAGTATTTTAATAACATGTTATTGAACATATTTGGAATAGGCCTAATTAAAAAACTTGGCAAGCTGAGTGAATCAGCTCTTTGATTAGGAAAAGGGGCTATTCATACATTTTATTTATTTATTTTAAACACACACACACACACACCGCTGCTGCGGGTACACGAGTGTGTGCAGTCACGCCATTGTTAGGCTACCTCAGTGTGGAGTTATCTGCTTAATGATTGTCAGACAAGCAGAGCTGTGTGTGTGTTTGTGTGTGGGACCAGGGTGATAACGAGCCTGGGAAAGCTCCCAACCTGTCCGACTACTTGTCTATCTGCACAGCGCGGTGGCTGCTGGGGTGTTACTGTGGCCTTCAGCAGGTTGATTTATAGCGCAGTAGATAGGCTAGAGCTCCACACACACACACACACACACACACACACACACACACACAAACAGCAGATAGGATGCCAGCTCAACTCCACACGGAGCCGTAGCTCTCTGTTAATGGTTATCTAGTGGTGTCTCTACCTAACTTGGCTACTACTGCTGCTATCACAGAACACACACAGGCCTTTCTGTGATTAGTTCATTTCATAGACTGAAATATGACACATCAACAACACGCACCTGGCATGCAGATCCATCTTGCTTTAAAACATTTTTTATTTAACCTTTATTTAACCAGGTAAGCCAGTTGAGAACAAGTTCTCGTTTATAACTGCGACCTGGCCAAGATAAAGCAAAGCAGTGCGATAAAAACAACAACAACACAGAGTTACATATGGGATAAACAAAATGTACAGTCAAAAATACAATAGAAAATCTATATACAGTGTGTGCAAATGTAGTAAGTTATGGAGGTAAGGCAATAAATAGGCCATAGTGCAAAAATAATTACAATTTAGTATTAACACTGGAGTGATAGATGTGCAGAAAATGATGTGCAAATAGAGATACTGGGGTGCAAATGAGCAAAATAAATAACAATATGGGGATGAGGTAGTTGGGTGGGCTAATTACAGATGGGCTGTGTACAGGTGCAGTGATCGGTAAGCTGCTCTGACAACTGATGCTTAAATTAGTGTTTTGCATTCATTTGTCCGATGGTAGTGAAATACACTTGGTCTAAGAAAATATGTTCTAAGAACTATATTATATTATATCTATCCGGGACAGTGACTGTCAAGCCGATGTCCTCCAGCTAAGTAAAAATGAATGGCTCTTGGTCGAATTCAGCGCTGCTACAGCTGTTTGGCAGCTCACTACTGCCCTCTATCGATAATGTATCGATATGCAGGGAGAGGCCCACTTACCGTGTGCTCCAGCACAACTGTCAGCAGCCATTGTTTTCAGCTGTGCGCTTCCTCTGTGTGGCTTATTATGAGGCTACCCGTGTGTGTTATATTCCACTGTATAGATGATTGTGTGCTGTAGCCTATTGTTCTCATACAGTGTTGTATACCTTGTCAATGTTGTTATAATATAGTGTGTTATAACATCTCTCTTTCTCTCCCCACCCCTCTACCCCTGCCGTAGCGTGTAAGCGCAAGGACCAGGACCAGGGCCATGGCCACTGTAAAGTTGGTGGTGACCGTGACGGCAGCGGTGGTGGCAGCGGTGGCAGCAGTGGCGGCAACCACAGCGGCGGCAACCACAGCAGCAATAGTGGCCACTCCAAGAAGCCTCGGCTGGTGTTTACCGACGTCCAGAGAAGAACCCTCCACGCCATCTTCAAGGAGAACAAGCGTCCGTCCAAGGAGCTTCAGATCACCATCAGCCAGCAGCTGGGCTTGGAGTTGACCACCGTCTCAAATTTCTTCATGAACGCACGCCGACGCAGCCTCGACAAGTGGCTCGACGAAAACGGAGGCTCCTCCCACTCCGCTAATTCCTCCTCCTCCACCTGCAGCAAAGCCTGAGGAGGAGGGACTGGAGGGGGAGAGCTGGCACAGTTTTGAGTTGCTTTAACTTGGAAAAAATAAGTTGCCATGCTGACTTACAATTTTGAATTATGTCAACTCAGGTAATCAAGTGTTGAGTTGACTACATTTTATATTAGATATGGTGTTAGAAGTTTTTAGTTAGCGTGGTTACTTATTTTTTCTAGTTTGAAGCAATGAATATTTTTTACTGTGTGTGGGGAGACAGACTGACAGACTCAACCTCGGTGGAAAAGCTTTAAAATGTAGAAACCAGGAGAAACTAAGGAAAAGACCTATAAACAGTGTTTTGACCTTAAAGCCTGTACTATAACACTGCTATTTATAGTATCCAAAGAAAAAACAAACCAAAGACTTGTTTTGACCTGCTTTAAAAACTCTGTTCTGGCATTCTACCCAATCACTGGTCTCACAGCTTTAATACCTCCCGCCCACTGTCCTTATCTTTGACTGGTCGGTTTGAGGGAGGGCCTCTGGATGGACGTTTAATCAGCCTATCAGCTGTGTGGGTTCTGACCAGTGGATGGAGATCCTGTGGGACGGGCCAATCAGCTTTGAGGAGGAATCTTACAGGAGCCACTGGAATGTTCAGCAGCCATTTGGATTGGTCAGAGTTTCTGTCTGTGAGGACAAACAGACATTTGATTGGTCAGAGTTTTCTGTCCGTCAGTAAACCCCAGACACTCCAGGTAGAAGCTGCCATAAACTGATCTAGGTTCATATTACCTTGCCCCCAATCTTATCACTAACCATTAGAAGGATGAAAGAAATACTGTTTCTGACCCAGGATCAGTGATTAGGGGCTACTTCTACCTCCTTCACTGGAAGAGCAGACAGGGGAGGGGGGAAATCACCCTAGTAGAGGCTGCTAACCATGACCCATAACCCCTGACCCATTCCGTAGTGCTTTCTTCCTGTACGTGTTGAAACAGTAAAAATGAAAACCAAAGCTTTCTCCACTCCAGGGCAGGTAGCGTAGACTGTATGCAGTTATAATACCAAATCACTTTGACAAAATCACAGCAAGAAGTACAACCAAAGAATAATGTATTATATTTTGTAGCTGTTGTAAATAGTATTTTTAAAGACCTGAGTGTGACTGTTAACACTCTCATCTCCTCCTATCCCTCCATCTCTCCTCTCCTCCTATCCCTCCATCTCTCTCCTCCTATCCCTCCATCTCTCCTCTCCTCCTATCCCTCCATCTCTCCTCTCCTCCTATCCCTCCATCTCTCTCCTCCTATCCCTCCATCTCTCCTCTCCTCCTATCCCTCCATCTCTCTCCTCCTATCCCTCCATCTCTCCTCTCCTCCTATCCCTCCATCTCTCCTCTCCTCCTATCCCTCCATCTCTCCTCTCCTCCTATCCCTCCATCTCTCCTCTCCTCCTATCCCTCCATCTCTCTCCTTTTATCCCTCCATCTCTCCTCTCCTCCTATCCCTCCATCTCTCCTCTCCTCCTATCCCTCCATCTCTCTCCTCCTATCCCTCCAGCTCTCCTCTCCTCCTATCCCTCCATCTCTCCTCTCTTCCTCTCTCTCCATCTCTCAGTGGTGGAAAAAGTACCCAATTGTCATACTTTAAAAAAGTAAAGATACCTTAATGGAAAAGGAATCGAGTAAAAATGAAAGTCACCCAGTAAAATACTACTTGAGTAAAAGTCTAAAAGTATTTGGTTTGAAATATATTTAAGTATCAAAAGTAAATGTAATTGTAGGAATATTTTCTGTAGGAATGTAGTGAAGTAAAAGTAAAAGTTGTCAAAAATATAAATAGTAAGGTAACGTACAGATACCCCAAAAAACTACTTAAGTAGTACTTTAAAGTATTTTTACTTAAGTACTTACATTTACATTTTAGTCATTTAGCAGACGCTTTTATCCAGAGCGACTTACAGTTAGTGAGTGCATAAATTTTTCATACTTTACACCACTGCCATTTCTCCTCCTCTCATCCTCACCCAGTATCTCTCCTCTCCCTCCATTTCTCCCCTCCATCTCTCCATCTCACCTCAGTGGGTGTGGATGGATGCTATGCATGTCAGCACCAGGAAGAAAGCACTACAGTGGCCTGCTTTCCCAAAGTATGGGTCAAATTGTGTGGGGTTTACTGTCTATGGGCTTGGTTAGCTCCTTTGCTCCTCTCCATGTCTGCGGTACCAGTACTGTCTCTGGGCTGGGAGTGGGGGTATCTCTGCCTCTGTCTGTGGGTTACTGTAGCTCCTCTCCATGTTAATGAGTAATACATCAAATGAAGCAAAGCCAAGCGAGAGCTGCTTCCTCATGTCGAAAAGAAAACAACAAAGAAGAGGATAAAGAAAACTCTAAATGTGTTAAGACCTACTGATATTTTATAGTGTGAACCAAAGATGCTACCTCACTCAATTTCCATTTGTGATTTCTATCACTTTGATGATACCAAAGATAACCAAAGATTTTGTCATTGCACGGCCGACATGAGTGATGTGGATAGAAGGTTTACTGTATGTCCTTATCCTTACACCCCCCCCCCCCCCCCCCCCCCCCCCCCTTCTCCTCCCCCTGCTCTGCTTGGTCTCTCTTCATCTCTGCTCTCTAATTATAAAGCTATAGGTAGACATGATACTGAAGCTGTAGACTATGTTACCAAAACAACAAAGATGTTGACAACACTCTAGACATACATGTTAACAACATTCTAGAATGATGTTGACAACCTTTTAGACAGACGTTGACAACGTTCGGGAATGATATGTTGACAACGTTCTAGAATGTTGACAACATTGTACACAGACATGTTGACAACATTCTAGAATGATGTTGACAACGTTCTAGACAGACATGTTGAAAACGTTCTAGAATGATATGTTGACAACATTGAACGTTCTAAAATGACATGTTGACAACGTTCTATACAGACATGTTGACAACCTCTCTAAAACTCCCAGGACGAGTGCCTTGCTTGAACCAAAGTGTTAAACCACTGTTGACCTCTCTATGACCTCTCTGACCTTTGACCTTTTACTCTTTGAATACCTCAGCCTGTAGAGACGGGCCATTACTGAAGACTAAAGGAATATCTCTCACTCTCTCCCTCCTTCTCCTTCTCTCTCTCTCTCTCTCTCTCTCTCTCTCTCCCTTTTTCTCTTGCTCGCTCTCTCACAAGTGGTGCTTTCGCCAGCTCTACCATGCAATGAAACATACCAAAGGAATTTCTGATCTCCACTCCTGCTGATATACCAAAGCTCTTCTTCTTCTTCTTCTTCTTCTTCTTCTTCTTCTTCTTCTTCTTCTTCTTCTTCTTCTTCTGTCTCCCCAGCCCCCCTCCCTCCCCTCTCCTCCCATCCTCTCTCCTCCCCTTTGAAGGAAGGCCCAGCACTCTGGCCGTGTTTGTCTCTGAATACCTCATAGTGAGACCTCTGTGGTTCTGTGGATAGAGAGTCAAAGTGGGTCAAGGAAGAACTCAACTAGTTTGGTAACTAATGTTGTTATTGTTACTTATTTCAAAAAGCTTTATGGTTCTTATTTATTCTGGACATTTGTTTTGGCAGAAGTGTTCTGTTTAAGGTCGCAGAGGACAAGTTTCAGGGTCTTGAGGTTTGAAACTTGTCTGGATGGAGAGATGAAGTGTACTATTTTGTTATCAGACATTGGGTACTTATTCCGATATTATAATGATGGTAGACTATTGTTTTTTACAGGGTAAAACCAACAACTGCTGTGATAATGTGTTCATATTTTTTAATTTTCTCTTCTTCTGTGTTGTGATGATTTCATTTTAATTTAATTGCGTTTTTGTATTATTGCTTAACCATTGCTTTAATTTATGCCTTAGTAGAAAATCTAGATTTGTATATAGTAGATTTTTTGAGCGAAAACAACCAAAAAAACAACCAAATGAACATTCAGTTTTGTGTTACAGCCTTATAACAGTCTCCTGCTTAGATCAGATGAAGGAGTGGGTTTGTATACTTCTTCTCCTGTATCTCAGCTCCGTCGCTTCATCATGTGTTCTGAACACTGCCAGAGACCACACCATTGCCCTGACAACGGGCTGACACACATCTGACACTACATCCTGTTTCCTATTTAGTGCACTACTTCTGCCCAGAACCCTATGGCTAATCCCTGGATCCCTGTGATCAGGACAACATTGAAAATCAGGATCAGGATTTGGACTAGGGGCTATGTTAGTTTCATATGAATGGAAGATAATGTCAGAAAACCAAGAATTTCTGATTATTCAGGATAAATCACATCTCTACTAACCCAAACCCTATGGCTCTATTCAAAAGTAGTGCACTGTATAGGGTGTCATTTCAGATGCAGACAAAAGTTCTACAGTTGGTACGTACTTTGCTCAACCGCTGTCAAACAAGCAGCAGTGTGTAATGTGTTTTCTATTCTTTTGACTTTTACATTTTTATTTTAATAGTATTAATAATAATAATGAACATCCAAAGATTTCTAAAACAAACCAAAAAGTGGAGAAAAAAAGGAAAAATAAACGATGTAAAATGTTTGAAAAAGCACTGGCATTTGTGAGTTTAGGAGATGTTGAGTTTTGATTTGCCATTCGCAGCACGGGTATAGATGTTAGTAGAAGGCTGTAGGCCGGGGGCTTCTGTAGTCAAGGTTACTCAGCCGTGTAGGAAATGTCCTGTTTAAATGTACAATCTGAAGTGTTGTTTTAAACTAAACCAGGGCTGCAAGTCCTCTCAGTGTTGCTCAACCCAGTCCTCTGGTGCCTGACATTCATACTATAGGGCCAAGCCGAGCTGTAATGTGGTGGCCTGGTTACAAATGTGTGAATCAGGTATTGGACCACCAACCATTTCACATATTAGGTCTATTCCAACACTTGCACTCCTCTTTCAACTAAGTCAACTAATCATAAAGCCCTTGACTAGTTGAATCAGGTGTGTTAGTGTTGGAATACATCAGATATATGAAATAGTTGGTCCCTGAGGACTGATCTGAGTCACTTTGCTGTCTGATACAC